ATATTATACTGACCGCAATTAAAAACGCAATCCTTCGTTCGCAGAGCCTGTACACCTTTGTATCAAAATTAATGACGATAGATTAAAAGAAGTGGTTTTTGAAGTTCATTCATTTTCCAATAAATTTTAAAGTGGACCATTTTGATCCCACACTTCAACTGATTTCAATACATTATTGTCTTCCTTCTTCCTGGGTACCCCTTTCGGGCCTTTTTTGCAAGCTATATAAGACTTACAAGTTCAGAGACAACTAGCTTGATTGGGGGCTCTCGCGGCCTACAGGTTAAGGTGTTCTCCTCTCATTCAAAGGTCTCGGGTTCGAATCCGGGTAGCGACCGAAAATTTTTCTTCTATACAATTGTCTCTTTCACCTCCTTTCCTGCTCTCCAGCAATGTTCTGTCGTCTGCTTTGTCCCCTTCTCTGGGCTCCTGACTCTTTTAGCAGCCTTTCTACTGCTACTCCTTGGCTCATTCTTACTGCAGCTGTCTTTCAGCCACAACCCTGGTCTTCTGGTAGGAAAGATCTACACCTTGCCTTTTCGGACAAGGGCGAAACATCTCGGAGGTCCCGTGTGCAAGTTGCGCACTTTAAGAACCCTTTGTGGTCTAAAATCGATAAGGATAGGCTTCGGCCGCCACCCGAGCAAACATTCAAAATTTCCTACATAACTGAAAATGTTTAATGTGTCCCGTGCGCTCATAATACCTTATACAGTTGCGAGTGCCGTAAAACGCTAACCAAAAATAACATAAAATAAAATAAAATAAAATAAACAAAGGAATAAATAAGTAAATAAATAAATAAATTAATTAATTAATTAATTTTAAAATAGATACAGAGGAGACTGAGATCTAGACTAGATTTAGAGATTGGTTATGTCAACGGGTGTGGCCAAATAAACAAACCTGGTCTGGGGGTGGTTGCCTTATTTAGGTATTCAAAGCCCAATGAGAAGAGTGTTTAGTTAGGCTATACTATGCAGTACAGCGCAATTATTGTTGCTTCTTCTTCTTCCTCTTCTTCTTCTTCTTTCATTAAAAAAAAAAAGAGAACGTGTTTATTTAATCTTGAACCCCGCTAGGGCTTAACATTCAGGTGTTTTTTGTGTGGTTTTTTTTGGTGTTTTTTTTTGTTTGTATTTATTTTTAAAAACTGTTTTGCATCATGAACATATATTTCCTCTGACAATGACAACGCCAATCTTTATTCATCTCGGCAGGGAGAAAATAGTATAATTGTTTCGGTCGTTTACAAAGGACGTGGTGTTACAAAGGTCAGGAGCACTCACGCAGACACACAACAATAAAGATGTTAACCTACATGTTATTATATTATATTACGTGCTGAAAAAACAAACAACCAAAAAAACAAAACATCTGCATTCAAGAGAATCCTGTACACCCCTACTTGCGTCACAGG